ATTTATTTAAAATAACAGCTCTAAGAACCAGATCCAAAGTCCAATGAAGTTAATGGAAAGATTCTCATTAACTTCTCATTAACTTCAAGGAGTGCTAGAACAGGCCTTAAATGTCCTTTGTTTTCTTGTCTGCTTGATTTATTTTAATTTAAAACTCCAAGAAATTCATTAAACCCATCCAGCGTGTGCTTAGCTTTACACAAATTCTTTTGATAACCTTTCCATGTAAATACAAAATTTTTTACTTTGAGCAAAAATAAGAACTCTTGTAGCTGAGTTGATCACTTGAAATGATACAATCAAGTACCTGTACACTCTGGCATAAAACAAATAATATTCTTTGTCACCTTTCTTATATATTATTTTTATTAATAGACATTCAAGCTTTGAAGAATGCTTATGAATGGATCAGATCAGACAAGGGAAATCTGCACTTGATTCATCAGAGAGCTTTAACTCTGATTTATATGTGTTGTGTGCAGAAGCATTCCATGTGACTACTTTTTCTACAGGAAAGAATTAATGGACACAAATCAGATATCCAAAAAGGCAACACACAGAAACCTGTTGGAGAACACTTTAACCAGCCTGGGCACTCATCAATGGATCTCAAAGTGTTGTTTCAGGCCAATTCCACAAGACAAATACATAGGGAAGCCTTGGAATGTAATTTCATTTACAGGTGTGGGACCCATCACAAAGGTATGAACAAAGATATTACCTGGCTAGCACAGGACCTTCCACATCCTAATGACTTAAAAAAGGAAACAATGGGTACTTAAGAACAATTTGCACCTTCTCTATCAGCTTCCTTGTAACATGAACACACTAGCTTTTTCCCCACGTTTTCCCATCCCCTATTTATTTTGGAACTGGACCTTTCATAACTCCATTCCTCTGAAGGAGTTAGGGAATTTCGAAAGAAGGGTTTTCTTTCTAAATAACCGTGTATAGTCTGTGTTTCTTTTTTCGAAATAGGGTATTTCGAAATAGCGCCCACACGCGATTATGCAAATGAAGCATGGGAAATTCAAATCCACGCTTAATTTGCAATTTCGTTCGCCTGCATTTGCATTCCTCTCTCAAAACAGGAATGCAATGTAGACATACCCACAGGGGCCAATGTCCCCTCAGCTAACTACACTTCCTGGGGTGCTTCAGTATAGCCGTAGGCCTTGCGTTCTGGCTCACTCCTCCCCCCCCCCCCCGCAAGGGGGATCCAGGGTCTGCTCCTTAGGGTCCACACCACTCGGCCCTTCCATACCCCTTGGGCTAGTTCTCCCATAAGGAGTTCACCAAAGTACCACTTCCCCACAGGTTCGCAGGGTGGTTGCTTCTCGCTCTCACCTCACACACGAAGAGGTAGGGGGACCTGGGTGCGCCCACTCCACTGGGTTCCAGCCCAGGGCCCTAAGGGTAGGGACAACAGCCACTACCTGGTTGGTGAGGGAAAACGCCAAAACCCGCCAACTGCTTGGGCCGACCCCGCCCTGATTCACTTCCTACCAAAGCCCCACCTATCATTCGCTGTCTGGTGGGGTGCAACCTTCTCGCCCATGTCGGCATCCTCGGCTCTGCTCCCGCTGCAGTCTGGGTGCATTGGGATCCCTGCAGGAATGTCACGAGGCTCCCATGTCTAGGAGCCTGCTTGGTCCAGCCTGGTCACCAGTTCTCCTTCCATGCTAGCGTCTGCCTCTCCCCACAGGGGGAGGGCCTTGGGACTCTGTCCCCCGTCCTGAGGCCCTCCCCGTGGCATGTGCAGCCTCAAGCCCTCTAGCCGCAAGGTCGCTGGGAGAGCCGGTTTGTCCCGTCCTGGGGCCTGAAACTGGGAACCAAGGTCGGCTCCAGCATCTGAGGTTGCGGGGCCAGCCGGAACTTTTCTGGCCTCCCCGCTGGTGGCAGTGTCTCCCCCATCGGCACTGACACCCCCCCCCGCCCACGTTCCCCCTGCCAGCGCTGCCAGGGTTTAAATCACTTGGTGCGCAGAGAGAGCATGCGCAGCAATGCTGGGGGGCGGCGCTCCTCCCCAGTCCGGCTGCGGGGTCGGAGCGCCTCGTCACAGTACACAAGACAAAACTCACTCTTCTCATGGATGGAAAACCTTAGAAGGAACACTGCAAGGGGTGCTCAGTAGCAGTCACCTCCTCAGCTGCCTGGGGGCCTGCACAGTGCATAATAAATAAGCAAAAACTTCCAGCAGGAGCCTCGTGCCAGTAAGGAAGCAGCATTCGGCAGTGGCAGTGCCAGGGGACACATTTGCAGAATATGCAGATAGCCTTTCCCGAGGGTCTAATACTTCCCTCTATCTTGTGTAGAGCAACAGCAACATCAGACACAGGAGGGCAGGAAGCCAAAGCCGGGCAGGGCTGAACATTGTCCAGGGAACACTCGTGGTGCCTAGCCTGGATTCTGGGCTCTCCACTCAGAAGCAGTATGTTTGCTACAGTTCCCTGTGACAGGGACAGTAAAACCACCTGCTAGGGTGCAGGGCTTTAGCCCCACAGACAGGGGGACTCAGGGCTTCAGTCCCATACCTGCTGGCAGCCTAGCCTGGGCATGCATGCACTGCCCCACATCCCCTCCCTTGGGGCAGATGCCAGAGGCATGGGCGGTAGGTAAGACAGCTAAACCTCCCCAAACAGGATGTAGCATTTGGGGATCTGCTTCTGGACCACTCTGCTCACAGGGCACAGGAGCAGGGCCGGCTTGAGACATTTTGGCATGGCCCTGCCTCCAGGCACATGATGAATGAGTGGGCCCGCCCCCGGGACACACGGCCCCGCCTCCGGGTGCACAACGCATTTGCAGGCCCTCCCCCGGGGCGCATGGGCGGACAGTGGGCTCCGCCTGGCCATGCAGGGTCCTGCGGCCGTGGGGGGAAGGGTGCTGCTGGCCGGTGCTGTGGGGGTTAACACAGCCCCCACCCTGGGCGGCCGCTGCAGCCCTTCGGGAGCCAGGCACCCCCCATAGGTTGGCGCCCTGGACAGCTGCACGGCTAGCCCACCCCTTAGCCCAGCCCTGCACAGGAGCCATAGCACTGCTCCTGCATTCCACTCTTCCTCTGTGGCCTCACCCATGTGCTCCTCTGCCCGTCCCCACCTGCCTCTTCTTCCTCCCATTCACCGCTTATGCTTCTCTGCTCTTTACCCCCACCCGCCTCTGCCCCCTCCCTCACACCCTGCATCCACTGCTCGCGCTTCTCTACTCCTTACCCCTGGAATCCCCCACCTGCCTCGACCTGCTCCCTTACACCCCACCACTCAACGTTTCTCTGTCCCTTGCCCCCAGAATTCCCCATACACCTCTGCCCCTCCCTCGCATCCTCCCTCATCTGCCACTCGTGCTTCTTTATCCCCCAAGAGGCAGAGAGGCACAGGTGGCAGGGAGGTGTCCCGTGGAGGGGGGACAGGGAAAGGTGCTTTGGGCAGGGGGCGGGACTCAAGGACCTCCAGAGGTCTCTTCCAGCCCTGGGATTCTATGATTCTAAGTATGAGCGGTCCCATAAGATTAGGAGTGGAGCCAGGAGCAAGCAGAGGGCAGATCTCTTAGGGGAGTGGATTACACTGCCCTGGGGTCTCCTCCCCTATTGGAACTTCCTTTCTGCACAGCCTATGGAAGCTGCTTTTTCCACCGTGTCATCATCTGGAAAGGCAGGGCCATTGGTCCTGCTCTGGATCTCTGAGGAGCATGTGATGATGCCTTGTAAAAACTAGGGATTTGAAAAGATAACCAGTTAACCAGTTCCCCGGTAAGCATCACCCTTAACTGGATAACAGTTAACTGGTTCCCCCGGAGCAGCTCCCATCCTACCCGCAGCCTGCCACAGACAGAGATCTGCTCCAACCCCACCGGGTCCACTAGCTGGCAGCCTGCCCCATGCGGATGGTGGCTGGAGCTGGCAGCCAGCCCTGCATGGGGCTGGCAGTGGGAGCCCCATAGCCTGGGGACTGCTCCAGCCAGGCTCAAGCAGTCCTCTGCTCAGGATCCTGCTTAGTTGGTTTGCTCCCAGCACTGTTAGCTACTCCCCTAGGCAAGGTGATTTATACAAAGTGATGGGAGACCTCTCCCCCACCCTCCTGCCATGGCCACGCTTTCAGTTTCAAGTGACACCATTTCGGGCAGTCCTCAGACTCTTGCATTGACACACTCCATTCAGGCTAGAAGTGCGCTCTTTTTGAAAGCTGAAGAATTAGGGTAAAATTTTCAAAAGTGTCCAAATGATGAAGGAGTTGAAGTCCCATTGACATCCAATAAGACCAGCTCCTAAATCCCTAAGGGCCTTTGGATAAAGGGGATTTGGTTCCTAAATCATATAACCACCTTTGGAAGTTTAACCCATAGATATATTTTAACGTAGAGGAGATTAGAACAAACTTGCAAAATTCAAACTCGAGGTGACTGCACCATTGTGGCTCTACATCCATATCTATCCCTCTCTGCCACGAAAGCACCAATCTCCACAGCACATTGGCTGTGTAAGAGCCCAGGCACTTGGATGGCCATTACCACTACCTTATGCAATGGAATTACTATCACTACCTTTGCACTTAGAATTGAAAAGACAGTTTGTTAGCTGAAGGAAAAAAGTGTTTCCAGTTTAAAAATATAATGTCCAGTGACCTCTGAAATCAGCCATGCACCTCTCTGAGCCCTGTACTCCAGAGATGTTCCATGAAATTAAAGACAGTATCTTGCAGCACAAACTAAGAAGTCAGAGTTAAGGCATTACAGACATTCCTTATTCTGGCACTTCTCCATTTTGGAGAGAGTCCTTAACCACGTTCCCTTAGAGTTCCTCTTGATATTGCTGGAATTTGTCAATGAAATGTATTTGTGCTATTCACATGCTTTGGTTCTTTCCATTGTTTCTCTGAAAACCAGCATAGACCACCACCAGCAGCCCAAAGGTGAATTCAAACCTCCCAGAAACAGCCCTGCAAGATCCTTCATTAGAGCAGAGCCAAGATGTTGCCAGCATAGCTCGGGTGAATGGGGCTTACCGTTGGTGAAGGTGTTCACATAGTACCGGTGACCCTGGGGAGACATATAGCTCTGCCAGCCAGGGGGCAGAGGGCAGGTCAGAGAATCTTCTCCTGTCTGAGGAGTGACCTTCCTGGGTTTCTGCAAGGAAGACAAAGTGGGTCTTGTTAAGCTGGCTTTCAGACCAGGCAAAATCCAAACAGACACAGACATGGAATGAGGGCCTACAATCTGGGATTCTCGGGATAGGAGTGAGATGGACAAGCACAGCTAATGATTGCCCGTCCTATCCCCCAATCCTCTGTCCATCTGCAGCCTGGAAAGAGCATCTTGGATTCCAACAAGACTGTTCAGCATTCCCTGTCTCCTAGAGACGTTCCCAGAGAGCCATGATACAAAGACATCTGTTCTGCCAGGGAACTGTGTGAGGAGGGGGCTCTCTGGGAACATGAGCAATGTGACTCCTCCAACATTAAAGTGCAAACTTTTGCCACTCAGGGTGTGTCTAGACTACACCTCTCTGTTGACAGAGGGATGTAGATTAGGCACATCGAAATTGCTAATGAAGCTGGGATTTAAATATCCCGTGCTTCATTAGCATAAACATGGCTGCCACTTTTTTCGAAACTGCGCTTTTTCGAAAAAAACAGCAGTCTAGACGCGGATCTGTCAACAATAAAGTCTTTTTTGACAGATCCTGTGTTCTTCCAAAAATGAGGTTTACAAGATCTGTTGAAAAAGACTTTATTGTCAACAGATCCGTGTCTAGACTGCTGGGTTTTTTTTCAAAAACGCTCCGTTTCGAAAAAAAAAAAGGCAGCCATGTTTATGCTAATGAAGCACGGGATATTTAAATCCCAGCTTCATTAGCAATTTCGATGTGCCTAATCTACATCCCTCTGTCAACAGAGAGGTGTAGTCTAGACACACCCTGAGTGGCTAGGCTGGGAGAGGAAAAGTCCCTGCCTGGCCACTAGGGTCTGTCTGCACAGCAATGGAAATCGCTCAGTTGACCTGTGCCCGCTGATTTGGGCTCTGGGGCTGTTTAATTGCTGTGCAGGCTTCTGGGCTTGGGCTGGAGCCTGAGGTCTCAGGTCCTCCTACCTCACTGGGTCCTAGATCCAAAAGTCTGCCAGCAATGACACAGGCCCGCAGCTTGAGCCCCGTGAGCCCAAGTCAGCTGCCATTGCTCAGCTGTGGGTGGTTCTTTGTTGTGAATGGCCCCTTAGCTGCTGCATGTACCCAGGCCTGTCCTCACTGCATCCTCTTGGGACTCCAGCACTGGCACAGGAAGGCTCTGAGCCCAGGCAAGGATGGTCTGGCCATGAAGCCAGAGTAGGAACTTGGTCCACAGGGGTTCTTTGCATCAACTCTACAGGCTTTGCCTGGGCTTGGCAGCAGGGCTCGCCATGAACAAAATGGCCTCTTGGTTGAAATTCTGCCCCCTCCCCATCATCTTTGGGCTCTGCTGTAGTCCTAGGCATAGTCTACATTGGACAAGGCTCCAAGCTCAGCCCAGGTACGAAGTAAGTACTGCCAGGCCAGATTGTGAGTGGCAGCTGCTTGCCAGGCACTCAGCTCTGAAGGCAACACCACTGCCAGCAGCAGCGCAGAAGTCAGGGTGGCTTGGTGTGTGGTGTATTGCCACCCTGACATCTCTGCTGCTGCTGGGCCTTGTGGTGCCTGGCACTTGGCCTGTGGCTTAAGGCAGACTTCATGCTGTCACAGGAGAGCTGCATCTTGCTGGAACCCATGGCCTCCTGCAGCCCTGCTGTCACTCCTGGCTCACCAAGGTCTCTTTCCAGATGGGGAGGAAGCCCCACCAACCCCATCGCTGCAGTCCCCCCAAAGCACCACTGGGGCTGAAGCAGCACAGTCCCAGACCTCGTCATAGGAGCCACAATCTGCCCCTCCCAGCTCCGCCAAGCTGCCCAGTATGGCGGGGCGGCCTGTGCAGCCCACTTCCCTCCCTCCATCCTGGGTTGAGCCTGGGGAGCACCAGTAGGAGGCCTGCACATCTTGCTCCTCCCTCCCAGGCTGGACCTGGGCAATGACGGGTAAGTCTTCTAGCCTGCTCTCTAGTAGTCAATTGTTTTCACTCCACTCAGAACGTACTTACTTCATTTTAATGTACGCAATTAAGGTTTTTTACTCTTTTATTATGAAAGAGAATTTATTGTTCTATTTATTTTAGCATTTATATTTACTGAACATAATCATATGCATGACTCACTTACCTTTGATTCCATCATTGCTATTAGTAGCATATTTGGAACGGCATTTACTTTCATACCAAAGTTAAGTTCTTCTACAGATATAATTAAAAGTACTATTTGAAAATAAGTGACCTTCATCCAGATAGTGTCTAAAGTAGCTAAAGTTTTTACACTGACACTGCAAAGATGCATACTTGCTAAATTTACATTCTAGGAGGATATTATTATTTGATTGTACCACTTTAAATAACAAATGACAAAGCACAGTAGGATAATAAAAGTAATAATGATTATTATTCCAGCCAGGACATCTAAGATATTTTAGAATTAAATTTAAGTATAAGGGAGAACTAAAATTATGAAATCCACAGACCAGTCAAAAGATAAAACTAACAGCACTGCAATCCCGAACAACTTTGAAAGACTACAATTACAGAGCATATATGTGCCTTGCATGTTTCAACAGGAAGTACCAAAAATAATAATATAACAATAATGTAACAGAAGCTTCAGGGGGTAGCCAAGTTAGTCTGTTAGGGTATGTCTACACTACAGCGCTAATTCGAACTAACCTAGAGCGTGGAGATGCTGTCTCAGGCTAGCCGAGGGCTGTACTTAAAGGGACCCGACCCCCACCCCGGACAGACAGTTCTCAGGGGTGCCCCGCTCACTTGTCTAACTCGATGAGGGACAGCAAAGCAGTCCTGGCTTGGAGTGCCCTGAATGCCCACACTCGGCACATCACAGCACTCGGCCATCAGCCCGGCTGCACTTGCCGCAGGCTGCCATCCGGGGGGGGG